AAACTATGGAAGAAGTCCTCGCGTTGGCGATATCAATTCCATTGCCACCGAGTCCTCTCACCACGGACAGTGATGCTGCTGCGGTTGAGGAAAATAAACAAAACGATGGAAACGAGGCCTCTTCAAATGGCGACCATCTTCCGACCGTTGAGCAATTTAGGCTTTACGAAGAATTGGAGGAACTCGAGAAGCAATTAGAATTAGAAATTTCTGAAGATTTGGCTGATATATAAAGTATTTTTCATATATTAAATCCGTATTGTTATTGTTAAGTGTAGTTTATACATAATTACACTTTGGTAATTATGGTATCGGAATTTATAGCGAATAAGAAATTGCTAACGGTTTTCTTAAAATTTTGTAAAAACCAAATTTTTCCAACTTTACATTGACCATTTATTTAAATATAATTATTTTATTCTTTTTAAACACTGTTAAATACAGTAATACAATTGTTGTTTTTTTACTTATGAAATTCACGTGATAAATGTCAAAAAAGTGTGGCACGAATCAAGTTTTTGCACTTGATTTATTTTTGAACTTCTTATACTGTCAAGAAAATAACAATTTAAATTAACGAGACCTTAAACTAACCTATAATTTTTATTGCTTTAATGTTTTTATACTATAAAATTGATCAAAGCAATAAATTTATTGATGTTAACGTAATCCCATATAAAAAGATATTTGAAATTATAAAAATAATCTATTAAAGTTCAGTTTAATTAGTATAAAACAAACAATTAAATAAACAAATTGATAATAATTTATAGTATTATTATTATTTTTTTTTTTATCGGCAATCATGCCGTCATGGAATATACTTAGTATTATTTAATATTAAAAATTTTTTAATTAAAATTAAATTTCTATATTATATCAAAATAATAATTAATTTTTAAATTAATTATATTATATTTCTTTTAATATTTTATTACTAAAAAATCTTTTGAGTATCAATAGCCAGGTTAGATCATAGTTTATTAATTAATTGAAAACATAAGTACATTTTCATTCAAGCAGCATAATATATATAGTATATTAATAAATTTACAAACAAATATTTGTATCATAAAGTTAATCTAAATAATTTTTTATTTTTAACAATATATATAAATATATATATATAATAAAATAAAAAACTACCTAGATTAACTTTATGATACAAAAATTTGTCCAAAGACTTTATTAATATATTGTATTACAGTTAAATATCAAATCAAATCTAACTAACTTATTGTAAGCAATAATAATCTTTAAATTTGATCTTGAAAACAATATTTCACTTTATGAAAAACTTTGGATAAAGACTCTCTTAATTCATAATTTCATTGCTGACAGGTTGTTATTATCAAATATCCTATTAAACTCCTGGAATATAAAAAATTACAAAAGGATAGATTAAAAAAGAAAAAAAGTATATTCAAAAATATTTAAGTAAACTATAAAAAAAAGAAAAAAAAAAATTCTTTAACTTCTTCTAAAGATCTATTTCTTAAGACTTCTTCTCAATAAAAAATATCCAATTCGAATATTCTTTCTTCTAATTATTTAAAGAACTTACATATTTTTAATTATAATTTTATTTTTATATACTATCTAAAGAAACTTATCATCTAATAAAAATCTTTACTTCCAAAATATACTAGATCTCAATTTTCTTTAGACAATGATTTTTTATCTATTTATAGATTATAGAAAACTTATGATAAATCTCAGGTTCTTATATAATTCAATAAGAATTAAATTATATTGTTTCAATATAATATCTTTCAACAATTATGTTTAGTTAAAAGAATTTTTCTAGTAAATATCTTTCATTATCCAAAAAGTCATATTCCTTAATAATCTTTTTGCCTTATAATTATAAAAGAGTTTTAAAAGAAATAGAATTCTCATTAATTATAATATTTTTCAACAATTTTTGGGAAAATGTATTCTTAACTGCAATCAAAGGATTAAAATCTAATATAAATTAAAGACCATTTTATCTTATTGCTTGATTGAAGTAAAAAGAAGCCCTTGATCTTAAACTTTGTTTAATTGGAATAATAAAAAAAAAAGATTTCTGCTTGAACAAATGATAGTTTTTTTATTATCTGAAGACTTGTTACTCATATATTATTGATCTTATAAAACTAAAGCTTGATCTATAAATTAACACAATTGAAAAAATAGAGTAGAAATAGAATATCAATCAACTTTTCTTATTATAATTAATATCATTAAAACATATAAGGTAACCAGTAGAAACTAATTTATATTCTAGAAACTAATCTGTTTCATATTGGCCAATCACCTTTAATAAGAATTTGTGTTATCAAAAATTTATGATCAAATTAAAGTATACAAAATTTCTTAAAAAATCATGAAAATAAAAATTCTAAGAAAACTAAAACAGTTTAAAAGAAAAAAAAATAAATCTTTTAACTATAATAAAATCTCTATAAACCTTTGCTTTAAAGATTAAAAAGATCTTTAGATACTTCACAATTAGTTCTTCTTTCTTTAAAAACTTTCTTGTTATTGATATCAAAGATATTACTTGACTTTTTTTAATCACTGAAAGTCAAGTTTTTAAATGAAGAGATTTACAAACAAAAGAGAAAGGGTAGAAACAACTCTTGAAGTCATACTTCAAGTTATTTTAGAGAAAATACTAAGACTTTATTAGCAAAGAAGTGAAAAACTTCTTGTAAATATTTTTTTTGTATATAATTAAAAAATCAATAGAAAAAGTATCTACAAATAATTAAAATTAATATTTCTTTTGTATTATTTAAGTGTTTATATATTATTAAAAAAATAAAAATTATTTGTGATTATAGTAAATACAATAAATTATTTGTTAACTCATAAACATGATTTTTCCATAAATATCAAAAAACAAAAAGCAAAAATTCAACAAATGAAAAATTTATATTTTGATACAAAACAGGAATTATTTCATCAAATCAAATATATCATTAAGCAACTATTAACAAAATCTAAGATTAAATAATGCAAGTTTTAAAAATAATAAATTTGAAATTAATGATTATAAAAAAAAAATGATATATTTAAAAATTATTTAGCTTTAAAATATGAATTTTTTTAGAATTCTAGCAAATTTTCATATAGTTATTTTATGTAAATTTTGTTATAAATTATAAACTATAGAATTTAATTTAATTTATTGAATAGTGCAACAGATATTTTAATAAATTTATGAAATTGGTAATAAAGAATTTAAGCTTTTTTGTGAATCTTTATATACTGACAATAATATATTTAAATTATCAAATCAGTTCATTAGTTTTGTGATAAATCAAAAATATCATAAATTATACAAACAAGATGATATTTTTTATTTTCAAAAAAATAATTAACTATTAATCATGAAATATATTTATATTAAATTTTTTAATTCAACAATAAAATGAAGAAAAACTTGCAATTTTCACTATCTACGCAATTAAAATAATTAAATAAAAATATAATTAATTAGTTCAATTTAGTTTTATTATATTTTATTATTCAGTATTAATTATTATAAATATATTAAAATCTGAAAAAAAAAAACTCTTTACGCTGATCCCCAAATTTTCAGAAAATTTTCTTTTTTGGTAATTTTTTGAGAAAAAGAGAAACCAGTCAAAAAAAAACAAGAGAAACCAAGTGAAACCACCTTTACAACTAAACAACTTACAAAAACAAGTTCAAGAACTCTTTA